AGCCTGCCTCCTCCTTACTGAGGGTGGAGAGCAAGGTGGGAGGAGGGAGAGGCATGTCAGAACCAATCGGGGGCGTTCTCTCTGACAGAATTAGAAGGGCCGAGGGAGAGGTAAACAGGAGGTGACTTTATGTGGCCAGGTCTGTTTTCTTGGCACAGTGATGGGTGACCCCCCCATCACAGGCACCTGCACTGCCCAGCCTGGCCAGCCACGTGTGTCCCCCCATCACAGGCACCGGCACTGCCCAGCCTGGCCAGCCACGTGTGTCCCCCCATCACAGGCACCGGCAGTGCCCAGCCTGGCCAGCCACGTGTGTCCCCCCATCACAGGCACCGGCACTGCCCAGCCTGGCCAGCCACGTGTGTCCCCCCCATCACAGGCACCGGCACTGCCCAGCCTGGCCAGCCACGTGTGTCCCCCCATCACAGGCACCGGCAGTGCCCAGCCTGGCCAGCCACGTGTGTCCCTCACTTGGGAAAACACTGGCAGAGCCCAAGGGGCATCAGAGAGGTAAGGAGCAACTCTGTCAGCAGTGTTACAGAAGAGGAAAAGGATCCTTTTACACGAAGCCAGCATAACTTAGAATACATTTTCTGTTTTGACCATCTGATAGCATCTCAATAAGAAGGAAATGCACAGGAGCAGAAAGAACCCGAGACCTAAGGGTGGACAGCTTGAATTCCAATCTGCAGGTGGCTACAAAGCACACACGCTGGTGTGAGTGTGAGTGTGCAGCTCTGGTCCATCACTCCATCCCTTCCATACCCAGGCCATCAGACGCCCTGTTGTTCCCAGCGGGGGGGCATGCGCTGTTTGCAAAGATGCACATACTACTTCCTTGGTTGCTGTTTTTTATTTATTTATTTTTGTTAATCTTCTCCCAAGGATATTTTCCCATTGCTTTTTAGAGAGAGTGGAGGGGAGGGCGTTCAGGTGGGGGGAGAGAGAGAGAGAAACATTGATGTGAGAAAGACACATCTGTTAGTTGCCTCCTGCACGCACCTTGACCAGGACTGGGGAATCAAACCTGCAACCCAGGTGCATGCCCTTGACTGGGAATCCAACCCGACACCCTTTGGTACACGGGATGACGCTCAACCAACCGAGCCACACCAGCCAGGGCCACATACTTCATTTTCAGCGGTATTTTCCATCCGATATCCTTTTGAAGTAAGTTTGCAGCGGATTCAACAAATTGAATAATAACTGGACACCTTCCTCAAACTGAGGTTTCTTCCTGGGGTGTGGCAACTTCTCTAACAAAATGCGTTCACGAGAGCCACCGAGTCCGGCCCCCACTGCGGGTTTCTTGTTCGTTCGTTTGTTTTTAGTCCGCTTTTACAGTTGCAAGAAGGTTGATCGACTGCCCTCATGTTTAGAAGGAAGCGTCTCTGTCTCCGTGAGCTTCCTTTGCAAGCGTATTGCCACGGCCTTCCCGTTGCAGACCTCCCCACCTAACGGCTTTATTGCTTTTTGTAAGTTGTTTTGTTTGTTGTTGGTGGTGCATTATTTGGGTATTGATTTCTTTTTCTTTTGGTAACCTTATTTACAAGGGCTCACCCAGGGGGCTGCTAGTAAGCTTCTCACTTCTTTGGTGAGTGAATCTCAATCTTGGCCACACACCCGACTCACGTGGGGAGGTTTCACATCGATGGACATCTGCATCGCACCCCCAGGGCGTCAGATGTCATCGCTCAGGGGTGCAGCCTGGATATGGGGGTTTCTGAAAGCTCCCCAGGTAATTTGAAAGTGCACCTGAGATTGAGAACCACTGTACTCAGTGAATCCTTTCAAACTTCACTGTGCACATGATCAAGTCACCTGGGAATCCTGCTACGATGGAGATGCTGGCACAATGCGTCTGGGGCGAGGGCCCGAGAGCCCGCGTTTCTCACAAGCTGCCAGACGATCCTCATGCTGCTGGTCGAGGGCCCCCCTTCCCAAGGCACCAGATGCAACGATGCACTTCAAATACCCTCTGTCCAAAGCAGGACTCTTCCCTTTGACCTCTCTCTGTCCTATAACCTGCGCAGACTCAAGCGAGACACGATTCGCAGCTAGCGACGGCCTTCTGCGCACATTCTCTTGTGTTGTCTCTGACTATCTGACGGCGAGGTTCTCCTGCTACTCTCACACGAGAGACCATCGGGACAAAAACAACATCCTCGGATCCAGAATGATGGGCTTAGGCTCCCAGAAACTAGGGTGCACTCACTGGTGTGGGGACCCACTTAGAATCCCAGAGTTGGCACGAAGATTCCTTTAAACTGAGGACATTTGCAGATGCAGAAAGCAATCTTTTTGGAGCTTCTGCTCTCTGACGAAACGTAGAAACTTCTGGGAAATAAGGGTGCCATAAATTCTCTCTCCTGAGCGGTCTCATTCCCAGGAAGGAGACCGACAGTAAATCTACCATAAATCCCTTCCCCGGGGAGCTTATGGCTTAAAGACAGAAATACCACTCACACCAGTATGAACAAGCGTTATCACTACGTTCTTCTCTCTCGTTTGTCCTCTCTGAAACCCATTTTTCTATCCACAGAAGCCTCTTTCTCCTCTCTGCCTTTTCCCTAGTCAGTAAGGTCTATACGTCTCTGACTTTAACCATTTATTAAATTATTTTGTAAGCATACAAATGAATACACTTTCTTCTTCAGTTAGTCTTTCATCAGTTTAATTTGCAGGCCCCATTCACTGGACGTAAGAGGGTAGAGGAAAAGTTTTTCCTCCCTGACACTAAGCCACCGGAGGCTGCTATTCCATGACTGTCCCTTACATCTTTGTCCTTCTCTGTCCCATGTCCAGCCCCCTGCCCCCCTTTCTCTCCCATGTTCCCATTCACCTAAAGGGGAAAAAAAAAAAATCAAATCATGTTATCTAACCAAGCCTTCTGCCTCAGAGTTCAGAAGCTATTTTCCGTCCTTTTAATTGAGTTCGTATTTCTTCATCTACATTTCCGCAGTTATGGCAATTAATCTGGAATTCCAATTACGGAGTAAATTATGGTGATGAGATTCGATACGGCCAACACCAGGTAAGAACTCTGCCCAAGCGCAGCACACATTTTCCTGTAAATCGATCTTATGCTTTGCAGTACAGGCCGACCATAACACCTGGGGTGCAGAAATTTGATTTGAACACTGAATAGCAACAGAAATGTTCTCTGCATTCTGTTTCATCAATCACAGCAGTCCAAAGAATAAAACGGTGATGCATAAAGCATGATTTAAAACTAAACAAAACAAAGCAAGTGAACCTAAACTGTTTGGCCCTTGCAACTGTATCTTGCAGACCACACAGCAAAGCATTTGCTGATTAAGACAGAATGAGTATGAACTCATACTGGCCCAAAGTAGCACTAAAGTGGACACTAATTTCTCGGCAGCCGGCTGAGCCCACGCATGCTCCTAGGCTCATGCAGGGAGGACCTGAAATGGCACAGACACCCCTTCGCCGCCAAGATCCTACGTTACCCCCACCCACTCTGGCATTTGGAAGAATTTATCTGGGAAGCCTGTTCCCGGGAGCCCTGATGGCTGTCTTTTCTCAGCTCAGATTTGCATTCCTGTTTTTCCCCCCGTCTCAGCGTTAGGAATGCTTCCCTCTGTGTCAGCCCACGAGGAACCAGCCGCGTGTGATTCTAGCGACATTCACGGAGGGGAATTCTTCAGAGGCGCCCTGGCACACAGCACCCCTCATCGTGGTACGGGGACCCCGGTGCGAGGAACAATTGTGCAGTCTGTAAACGGGCTATTTCTCTCGAAGCTTCGTAAAGCCTGGCCGGGGTCACGGTGAGCGCTGTGCTTCAAGCCGAGCCATGCGCAGGCGGGGGGCTGGAATCCACCAAAGCCACACCGAGGTGAGGAAATGTGGCACATTTGACATTCCGGTGGGGGAGGACACTCAAGCCTCCCAGCAGATTGTGTCTCATATAACAGTGACCTCACTGGTAATATTGTTGCAGCTAAACTTAGCAAAGCTTGCTACGTGTCTGTAACTGCCCAGTGCTTACATACATCTCTCAAATAGAATTCTACGGGTTAGGTCTTATGATCTCCATTATTAGACACGGGGGGACTGAGGAATGAGGTCGGGAAACCTGCCCACGTATGACCTGCTGCTGAGGGCACTGAGGGTATTGCCACCCAGGCCTCATACCACCCTGCCTCCCACCTTGTCCTAGTCCTGTCTTGCGCATCAGCAACATCACACGTTGCTCTGGAGACACACTGAATGTTAGACTTGGAGGCCACGCAGAGAGCGCACCCTGCTCCGCCACCATGTGGTGACAAAGCCGAGGCTCACCGAAGTGAGCCCAATCGCCCAGGGTTAGTTTGGGTAGAGTGAGGAGTAGGACCTGTGGGCTCCCTGCCACTCCCTGTTACGAGGACACTGAATTTGCATTCGATTCGCAGGCAATGGCGACATCCTTCCACCTCAGCCCTGTGCTTTCAAAGTGCGTGTTTTATCAACATCAGAGGTGGGACTCCCTCCACCGAGCTTTGGAAGCCTAAATGCACCCCTTCAGAACCCGGAAGGCTGCGGGATCATTCCTATAAACTGAGCGTTGGAGATGACATCTCTCTATTGCTTCAGGTGTAGCTTTCCGTCTGACCTTCGAACCTGGACGAAGGGGCTGCAAACCAGAGCGTCGCAAAGGCAGAGCGAGGGAGGGATTTGATCAGACCGCTCAACAGGCACGTTGCAGCCCGCAGTTGAGGCTTCTCATCATGTCACTGAGATGAAGAAGAGCCAATAATTCCCACGTCCCTCACCTTTGGCTCGTTTGCTCCTGCCACTGGGCGAGAATGACGGTGGAGGCTTTGGACACTCGATATGTATTTACATGGTGCTGAGAACCCTCGTACCCACACATTCCTTTGCTCTGACTTCTCCCACCACATTACCAGCGAGGTGCTGCTATTAACCCCGCTTGACAGGTGGAGAGACGGAGGCTTACAGAAATACGGCAGTCTGCCCGAGGCTGTTTTTGACTTTACCTGAGTCCAAGTGGTCCAAGTGCCAGGGGTCGGTGGCGGACGACATGGGTGAGAGGGTGAGCGGGGATGTCCCGCAGTTGGACTCGACCAGCTCGCCCTGGACGTGGACCTGCGCCGAGGCGTTGGTTTGCCTCAGGGCCGCCTTGAGAGGGGCGATCTGGTTGAACTGAACCCTGGAGAGGCACCCAGTGAATCCCGGGGTGTTGTATTTGTGGATCTCTTGGTCGATGTTCCCTGTTTCTGAAAGACAAAGAAAGAGAAGGTAAAAATCTCACCACGCACATGATAACCCAGCTGTGAAACAGGCTGGTCTTTGGACGCTCGGGTCCAAGTCTCACCCTTAGGTTTCGGGTTAAGATGTTATGATCTTTTAGGTGAGATATTAATGACTTGGTAAGCCTTAGGGTTAGGGACTTCACTCGAAAAGAACCTTCTGGGCTACCAGAGGACCTGGTAGGGCGAGGGCAGGCTTCCCAATCACACCACAGCAAACGAGCAGGCTCAAAGCTGGATGTCTCTGAGGGTTCCCAAAGTAAGGGGGTGCCCTCTGCTTAAAGAGCTGTCCGCCCCTGCGTGTCCCCCCGGAGCTGACCCCCAGGGAGGGCTCACAGACAAGGCAGATGGTGAGAGGGGAGCCCAGGCAGTGGGTTGTGATGGTGGGTCCCGGACCAGGGGAGCAGTGGGAAGGAGCGGGGTGCCAGGCCCATCGGGGGTGTGAGCACGGGTGGCAACCTCAGGCCCGTGGGCAGAGGCGGGGGGCTGGGCTGTAAGGACACTTTCCATCCCTTAGGGCCACTTTCCCTCTGCGCACTCTCTTTCCGGCTTTTGCCCTTCCGTGTTTTCTCTCTACTGGGGAAGAAGAAATCCCCGTTTTTCCAACCATTGTTCCCTTCCTGAAAGGTGACTGGGTCACAAAGACCAGGGTGTTGATGTCCAGGAGGGCAGAAGCGGGATTCCCAGACCTGGACAGTATCCCCAAACCGGTTCACGTGCCTCTGCAGACACCTGACTGAACCCCACCCCCTGGCGCAGGGCGACGCAGCGTCAACACTGTGGTGCTCCTGGTCCTCATTGTGCCAACTCTGGGCCGCGTGGTGCTGAGGATGTTTAGAGCTTCTTACAAACCACAGTTGGCACACGCGTGAGGTGCTGCCGTGAGCACTTTCGTGCATTATTTCACTAAGTCTCCTACCAACCCTCCAGGCTAGACAGGGTCATCCCCACTGCACGGTGGGGAAACCGAGGCTCAGAGACGGGAAGGCTTTGCCAATGAATAAATGTTTATGTTTCATGTAAAACCAGAGAATGCTTTGTGTTATTCTTAATTTCTGTCTGAAAAATGGACTCTACTGTTTTTATTTTTATGTGGACTTTTGGCATTTGCAGTCAGGGATTCTTTATAGAAAGGGCATAGTGAGGCTTATATGCCCTGGTCGGTTTGGCTCAGTGGTTGGAGTGTCAGCCCGTGGACCAGAGAGTCCTGGGTTCGGTTCCCACTAGGAGCACGTACAAAGAAAAAAAGGAATGTCACGGCTTGTAGAGGCTGCTCGGAGACCATGTTCCCTCGGCGAACTCCTGTCGCAGTTCTCAATAAAGAACCAAACTTCTTACGAGCATCTAACCAACGATGCCGAGACTAGCGCTTCCGTGCACCCGAGCTTATTACAAGTCAATTACACTAATTGATTGGGCTGGCCTCATACTGAAATCAAATATTAAAATACGTTTCCTGTAAGAAATCGCTTTCTGCGTGGAGCTGTCTGGGCCAAGCGCTTTCAACAATGCAGTTTTCAAAGAGGCCGTACAGTCACGACTGAAATTAAGTTCTCACGCGGTCATTAGCGCTTGGACGTCTGAGGGTCAGAGGGATGTGCGGTACAGGAAACAGCCACGCAGAATCCTGACGTGATTCCTGGGGAGACCTTACGGGGGAAGGCCCCCGACAGTGCTCAGGAGCACGCAGCGGTTACATTCGCGGAGCTTAGCCTGCCGGCCACTTGTTCTCCTTCAGCGGCCGGACAGCAGGGGACAGGCAGGAGGCAGGCGACGCGGAGAGAGACAGGGCCCCTGAACCAGGGACGCGGGGGAATGAAGCCAGCGCCCCACTCCGCTGCCCCCCAGAACGGGGCCCCAGGCCGGGGACATGTATGAGCAGCTCCTCGGGGACGGGCTCACGCTCCGGTGTGGACTCCCCCAAAGAGGCCCCTCTTTCCTTGGAGACCGTTTGAATTCATCGTATGTTCTTGTACATCCCATGATATCTGTTCGTCAGCTGACTTTTGGGATGTTTTCCATTTTTCATAGTTTTTTGTCAAAATTCTTTTTTGGGGGGAGGTGATATTATAAACTATAAACTTAATTTATTTTTGTTTTTTTACTTTTTGTGAAAAAGAGGCCAAAAGATCCTAGAACGTTAGTGCGACTTGGAATGTCGATGATAGAAGACTCTGGGTAAGGATCTACTGTGGTAGGGGCTGGAGGGTCATCCTTTTGAGACTTTGTGGGAACAGTAGGGGGTGGCAGACCCTGGTCCCCATCCCAGCAGGCTCACCTCTGCTCTGCAGAGACTGCTGGTCCCACGGGCCCCAAACCCCCCTCCCCCAACCCCTCTCCCACCCCCAGTCTCTTCCTTGTACACTTGGGAAGAAAGTGTCCCAGTGGGGACACGGGGGATGCTTTTAGGTAATTCGCAGACTGGATGTTAAATACCATCCACCGCAGAGCGAGGACGTTATTTCCTTCTTCGTTCTCTTTCAGCCTTTCAGAGGCTCGGCGCGGGGCTGGACTTCTTCACCCCCCCAAAGCTTACTACTCTCTGACCAAGACAGAGCAGACCTCAGACCTGGATGCGTCAGCGGGCAAAAGTACTGAATTTCATAAGAGTTCCATAAAACCTTTTTTTTTTTACCTTATTGTTATAGCATGTCATACCTGCCTCTCATTTTATGGTTGCAATCCCAAGTTCCCTCTTAACATCAAGGTTTCCTTTGGACATATATTTACTTAAGTAAAAATGGTGAGTCCATTTAAAGAAAAATAGTAAGTAAGTAAAGGAGGTGACCAGAAATGGTGGAAATTGTGCCCCTGGTCCTCAGATCACTCTTTTTTTGGGGAGCAATGCTAGGGAAGGACTTGATTTTCCACCTCTGTTCCAGAGACATGGAATTCCTTCTTCCCTCCTCCCTCCACACTGAACCCCGCGATTATCTACCAGGTTAGAACATGGGGGTCTCCAGTGCTTCGAAAAGGGGGCTCCCAGGGCTCCTGGCTCTACCTGGACCAGGTGTGGTCCCTCCCTCTCCATCTGGGCTGGGACCTGAACTGTGCCCTGGCAGAGTCACAGTGACTTTGAGAGCAGAGCCCGGATGTCACTTATCTCTGCGTTTCTTGACGCGCCTACCACAGCGCCCGGCACGAAGCGAGGCTCCAGGGACCGCGTGCTCGGCTGTGACAGAGCCCCTATGCCCCCGTCGGTCAGAGGTCCGTCGTGTGGGTCGGGACCGACCACCATGGGGGTTCAGGTCCAGCAGAGCTCACTGTGGGCCCAGTCTGCCAGCCTCCTGTGTCACATGGTGTGGCACAAGGCCTCGAAAGGGGAAGGGAGGTAGCAGATTCAGATCTGACAGGCCGTGTGTGTATTTCCAGGAGCTGTCACCTGGAAACCCACCTCTCGAAAAGGCACTCGGCGTTGACCGTGGCCGTCAAGGCACTCACCTGTCAGTGCTGCCCGGCCCCGCGGAGTGAGCCCCACGGGCTCAGACCCGAGAAGAGGCTGGGTGAACCCAAGGGAGCGAGCAGGCGGATGTTCGACATCACTGCCTGGCTGAAACTTTAAATAGTTCTTGTCAAATCAGACTGAACTGAGGTACGTTTGAAAACAAGGCCAGGGTGCTGCTGGGCTGGCCACTGTCCTAAATTGGGTCTCCTGGGGTCGGGGTTGAGCACCCAGGTCTCACCCGAGGGAGGAGCTGATGTGGGTAATGAGGTGGCTACAATGTTCCCATTTGGCCATAATCAGATGGAGCCTGAATGGGTACCAGAATTTATTATTCCCAGAATAAACAAACGGGAAATAATCATAACACTCCCCCCAAAACCACAGCAACAAAAAAGCCAAGCATTAATCTCAAAAAGCAAAATAAAACCCCAATGCACCTCGCTCCTCAGTTCTAACATGATCGTACGGTAAACGTTAGGCAGGGCACTGACATGCTGGAGTCCGCATTCAAGGTCAGCTCCGGCTGTTCCGGGCTACATTTTTTGATCAGTGACATTTTCCTGACCGGCTGCCTTTGAAAAGATACACGACTAGAATTAAATCCACATCCATAGCTGATGTGTATCTCATGTGCTCCATGTTATTAACCCCTGAAAGAAAGGCGCTAACAAAATCTCACTGTATCATTCTGTGCTTTTCTCTCTCAGGGAGGAAGGCAGGACTGAAATATGCAGGCGTCATTTAAATAGTTCTTTACCATGACATTCGCGAACTCAATAACAAAGAGGCGAGTGCAGGGAGAAACAGGATCCCCCACCCCACCCCCACATTGGGAAGCTTTGTCTAAGGAGTGATAAAACAAAATTGGGTGTTTTTCAGAAACAGCAATAAAAAGAAATGTCTTCACGTGACTCTAGTCCACCTCACTATTTTGCAACAACAAAGGATCACGCTTTTCTTTGCATAAACGTATCACAGGCCCTGAACTTTGGAGGGTTACACACAAAGGCTGAAATTGTCATTCTCGTCCCTAAAATCTAGTCTGAAGACTGCAGACTTATGGTTGCTGGTTAATGTAATACAGTTGTGCTAAAACACAAAGGGGAAGCTATGACCCCTTGGGTGCTTCCAGAATGCATTTGGCATCACGCAGAAATACACATCTGGAGATACATTCTTCCCCTTTTCCTGAACGCTCCCAGTTGTCAGTTGTACGGCCGAGTGCCCGGTGCCCCTTTCCTGCAGCCTCAGGTGCCCTGCGGCTCAGCGTGACTTTTCAGGGCTAAGAATATCAGGCTCTGAAAGTAATAAGACCTTTCAGAAAAATGGACTTAGCTGTCAGTCACCCTGCGGAGCGGGGCACTGGGATTTACACGGTTAGAAATGCACGTCTGGGTTTGCCTCTCAGAGTCTTGGTGAATACGAGCGACGTGTCCCAGGTCTCTGCTGGTGGAGAACAGGGCACTAATGTGTGGTGGGGTCTCCCACGAATTTGAAATGAACAGATCTGCTTCTTAATGCG